TGTTAAGCACCTCATCGTAAGTTCGAGTAGGCGTCTTTGCCAGTGACGTTCGACATGGTCATGGTCGCAGACTCCTAATCAGTCCTCCTGCCTTCACCTTGTCGCCCGCCGTGGTCACCTCTAAACACATCTGATTGTATCGAGCAACATATTTCCGCAGGGACTCTTTCTGACCTTGTCGCATCGCCATCAAAGTGAGGTATGTCTTTTCCTGGGCGACTGCGCTTGAATATTGATTAGTAAGTTGTCCTATTATGAAATCCTCAAAGTCTCTGATCGAACCGGGAGCTAATTGGTGGAACTAGTCAAGCGCGCCTCCTCGTAAGGTCGACAGAAAAGCCCTGCAACTGACCGGATCCGAATACCCGTGCAAGACGGACATGTTTTCAAATGCCCTCACATGCCTCGACGGGTCGCTCGACCCATCAAAAATCAGATTTATCTCCCGGAAACTCGCAGGCAGCTGTGCAGCGAGGATATCCCTCGAGAAAGGGTGTCCTCGAGCACGCCTGTCCGGCCTTCCTTCCACCTTCTCCTGCAGCTGCCGAAGCTGCTCAGCCATCCTCTCCATCGCTCTATCTTTGTGCTCGCCTCCTCCGCCATAACTCGACACATCCTCCTCTTGCGTTCCCAGTATCGTGGTCGGTGTGGTAGTAGCCTGGGACGTCTGGTGAGTGACCTGCTGCACAGCCTGTGCTGCCGCGTTGGCCATCATCCTCTGCATCTCTTCTCTCGTCATGGTCACCATTTGTTGGGCAGGAGGTTGCGGCGCTCCTCCTGTTGGTGGCACCATGCACCGTTGGTCCAACCTGTTGCGTCACAACCGGGCCTGCTTGCAACGGCGCGAGGACTGCATTCGGTGCTGCTTCACGAGCCTCGTGCTCCCTGCTCGTGCCTTCTCCTCCACCTGGGATCGTTGTACTCTGGGGCATCGGCATTGGGGTCACCGGTGTTCGAGATGGTCCAGAGAATCCAGGTAGAGGTCCTGCTCCCATCGGTCTTGTCGTCGTCCACGCTTCATCAAATGACGACTGCAAATTCACTCGAGGAACTCCGTCCACCATAGCTGAGCTCAGAACACAACTTTTTGAACGAGAGTCCCACAAACGGCGCCAATAATACAAGTCTCACACCCCGACCGGCTGAAAATCGCCTCAAGCTCGTTCTCCTCGCCGATTGAACGCGGAACCTGCACGAAACTCCCACACCGGAGGTGTTTTCCGGTGAAGAGCCTCCAATGCTCAAGTCAGATATTGAGGGATGATATATGTGTGTAGAAAAAATGTAAGAGTATTTGAGATGATGTTCAAAGTGAGGATTCTCGTCCCTATTTATAAGGGTGAGCTACCTGTTCTACACGCGCGAGTAGGGCGAGTTCGGCCAGCTGTCCTCTGCTCGTCCGTACGGCCGCGCGCCTCCACTATCCTTGATGTCAGGAAACGCATCCCCTTTGTCAGAGTTTGTTATAGCCATAAGCCACTCATAGGACGCCGCGTGTCTTCCCTTTCACGTGCTGGAGATTCCCTTATGCGCTCCGTTGTTCGACCAATTCTGTACGACCACGCCTTATTCGACCGTCCTCCCTCGACCAACTCCTCGAGTAACCGCATCTGTCGACCACTTATGATCCCATTAGTCCCTGCTGCCTGCTCTCTGTCTTTCATTGCAGGTGCCTGGTCTGGTTCGACCATATCGTCCCGTCTTATTTAGGTAATCCAACGAACCGGTCAATTTTTCCCGGTTAGCCTAATAAAACCGGTCTGGTATATAATATCCCATATCTGTGTTGATATGTTGGTGCTTGATGAATTGTTTTGAAAACCAAATGAGTGGTTTATCATTATGAATTGGAACCTGATGAATTAGTTTGGTTTCACATCTGTGATGATGATATATCTATGGTGATGATGATGATGATGATGATGATGATGATGATGATGATGATGATGATGATGATGATGATGATGATGATGATGATATGATGAAATGTGTTTGATGTTTGGATAATGATATCCCTTGCAAAAATTCGGGTAATGGGTCCCCGTTAGTTCAGATATAACTTGAACTATTTATGAAATGAATAAGTAGCGCCTGTAAATGTGATGGAACAAAAAAAAATAAATTTCTAAAATTTAATTGTTATTTTTTGAAAAAGTCTGGAATCTTCTTTAAAAATCAAAGGGGCGTAACAGAATTTCTATACACAAATGCACAATTGACAGAATGTGGTTGCATTTTACATGGTTGAATCAAAATTTATATAAATGCGTTCAAACTATTTACTGTCATTTATCGTGCCTGCAATTGGGAATAAAAAAATTGAGATATTTCATTTTATCGGTTTGGAATCATTGAATGCACAATGGATAGTCGATATTCCTTCAATACGAAATTACATAGCATATGAAGATGAACTTATGAAGATGACTTCAGAGGTGATTGGAAATACGATGAATGTATGATGATGAATTCAGATGATGATGGAATACAACAAAATTTAATTGAAATATGTTAATCTGAATAATAAAACACCTTTTAAATAAATATATTAATAGTTAAACATTTTTTTATTAGTATATTTAAGTAAGGGCATTTGTGTACTAACCTATACGATTTTTTTATTTTTTTTTTAATTTAAATATGAAAAGGGACACTTGGTAGGGATTGAAGGGATACCTGTTGTTATGCATGTACGAGGCATGTACGAGGGGTACCTAATGGTAGAATGACCCTACTTAAAATGTAGTTGTTACAATTAGTATTTCCTTTTAGTATTAACTTTATTATTGCAAGCTTAGAGCAGCTCCAACACTATTTTAGAACTGCTAATTTGAGTGGAAATAATTCTCCTCCAACCATTATATTAATTTAATATATATTAATTTAATGTGTATTAGTTATGAATTTATTATTTAAGTAGCTTATGCTTTTATTGATTGATATATAATAATTTTATTTTGTAATTTTTTAAATATCATATACCATTTGGATAAATAAAACCGTCTTGTGTAATGCACAAATATATTTTTATTACTTAAGTAAAAAAACTTATATAAGATTAAATATATTTATATATTATAATTTATTGGAAATATAAAATAATATATTTAATATAGAGTTAACGTGAGAGACTGAGGGTGAACTAAGACCATGTGCAGTCTTCTGCTTTAATTTAGTGAAAAGTTTATTCTACGCATACTAAAATTTAACTTTCGTCTCCGATCGTTCGTGTTACATATCCCTATATAGAACATATTAGTACGAAAAAATATAAATTTAACAATAAAAAATTATATTTAGTTAACAGAATAAATATTTTATTAATGCATATTTATGCAAAATAATATATAGAATAAAAATCAATTAAAAAGAAAATAAAAACTGAAATAAAAAATTGTAACGCGATAAACAATGTCGCGTGGCGCAATACTGTTCATATGTTCAGAGTAGTGCAAAAATGTTGCATGGCATTGGAAAAGGCAAATTCACATGTGGGATTGCCTAGGCTCATTTTGATGTACTAACTACACATAGTTTACAAGTGTTAATAAAAAATTACATTTAATATTTGTATAATATAAATAACTTTTACATTTAAAATTTTAAATAATCCTTAAAAAAATAAAATTATTGTTTTTATTTATAATGATACGCCTCACCTGTCAGATTCAACGATATTATATTATAATATTTTTAGTACGTACACCATAATATAGGGCCGAACTTAAATTTATTGTTTTTAATTATAATTGATAATTATTTAAATCTTTATTGATAGAGATTAGATAGATATAAATAATTTAATTTATATATACAATCAAATGTCAAGTATATATCGTCCAAATATGACTAATTTAATTTATCATATATAAAAAATGACAATAGATATAAATGTTATTAACTTATAGAATATATATATATATATACAATTTAAGTTACTTAGGCGTTCAAATTTCAATGTTCTGAGAAAATTCCATATTTATATTGTCTATTTCGAATACTTAGAAATTAACATATGAAATCATAAAGTGTTAGAATTAACAATGAAAAACTCTACACATTTATATAAAAGAATATAATCTATAAGGAAATCTTTGTCAAATAAAAAGAACAAGAATAGTGACATTTAGTCTTTCTTAAATTAATAAATTATATTTTTAAAATGACTTGTTTACTTCTTATTAAAAAAAAATAATGAAGAAAAAAAGATTGTAAAACATTTTTGTTATATTTCTTAATAATAATAAAAATGCAAAATAAAATAGCAAGACCTCATACTCAATTTCATTTCTTAACATCAAGTCATGGGAAAATTGAATAGAAAACCTTTCAACACAACCAATTGGTCTAACGATTTATTTAATTGTTACTGTATTTAATTGTTATTATAAGTACTTTGTACATTATTGTTATAAAATTTCTTTAAACTATTTTTTGCCATGGTTCACAGCATTTCTGGATCTGCCGCTGAGCATTGAAGCGAGTTTCTCGAGAATAACATTTGTGCGGACAAGATGGACTAAATATTTAGCTTACAATAAGCTACGCTAAATAAACTCTGACGCACATAAGAGCATCTCCAATATCAATGATGTAGTGATAAATTATATTTCACATCAACACATTTATCAATATCACAATTTTTTATCCTTCAATGTACAACGTAATCACCAATGTTGTGATTATGTAAAAATAATTAATGTCTACACTGTATGTTGTTCATCCACATTTTACTCCACACTCTAGTTAGCCAAAGGAGGGAGGAAATTATTATTATTATTTTTAAACTATTTAATTAATTTATATTAAAATTTTATTATTTGTCAAGTAGATAATATGGTAATTAGGCAACATTGTGCATTAGAAATAATTTTTTAAACACATCAACCAAAGTAGCTTCCCTTCTGTCCGGCCTCTGACAAAAAGAGACCCACCCACATAACATAAAAATCCTCCATTTTCCGCCAAACTATAATAATTAATTAAAATTAAAACGATTTTTATTTCGATAACTCGGCAGATAGTCCAGCAGCCAAGGAGGTGATGGTTGTGGGGGAAACTGAGGTGGGCCCACCCAAGTACCATTTCTTTATCATCTCCACCACATTTCCATTCTTCACTTCAAATTTCGACTCCTCTTTCCCCTCACACGAGAATCCAATCTGCATATTTAAAACAAAATTTTAATTGGTTAATTAAACATTCACTTCAGTAATTTTGATCTCTTTTTTTGTGTAGCAAATTGATCAATTCTATAGAATAGATTGACTAAGAGAATGAAGAAAGGTCGCAAATCAGTGAACAAAATTTTAACCTCAGCAGTCGGAGGAGAAGTCGCCGCCGCCGCCGGGAAATGAAAAGTGAGGACTGCGTTTGGCTTCAGATATTTCGACTGGAAAAAGGCAACGACTTGCTCCAGTGCTTCTTCCTCTTCTTCTTCGTACTTATCAGCTTCCGCCAAACGGTCCCTAACTGCACTCTCAATCTGTACCCCAAACTGTGACCCTTTGATCTCCTTAATCACCACCACTCTCACTGCCTTCTTCACCGGGGCTGCAATTATTGTGTTGGATTGATGATAAACTATTAATTCATTTCTAGCATATATATTTGAAAGACAATCATTGCAACTAATCAAATCACCTGAGATTACGGCCTCAAAAAACTCATCGTCTTGTGCTAGCTCAGCTTCAGATTTGCCCTTCCATTTGGTTAAATGGGACACAATTTGGGGATCGATGTAAACTCCTATTGCTGTGAATTTGATTTGGAGGAAGTGTATCTCCATATCCGTAATCCCTGTAGGTACGTGCGTCATATATTAATTATTTCTTGTATTATTTGCAAAGGCCAACAGTATAAAACAATAATAATATTAAGGAAGGATATTTGGTAACAATGATATTTGGTAACAAAGCAGAGAGAGACACACACACACACACACACCATTGGCAAGTAAGGGGAGTTGGTTGAAGCTTGAAGGAAAAGGGATCCCATCCACCATCTCACTCCCATCACTGCCCACTGCAAATACAGATCAACAAACAATATTAATATTCTAAAGGAGTGTTGACTGTTGAGCATAAATAAATAAATAAATTAGTAGATTTCATTCAAGTTTGTCATGAGAAAACAGAGAAACTACTCACTCTGTATCTGTATCTGTATCTGTATCGTATGGTGATTTTAATTGAAGTGCTAACGAGAGACGTATATCTATATATACACACACACACAATGAAATGCAGAGAGTTGGTTTGATAAAATTAATAATATTATCCTACCTACCTACCCTTCATATATTTATATTAGTTAATAGGAGAATTTAGGGGACACGTAGCGGAACGTTGGTTTGGTCATGTACAAATGCATCACCACCGTTGGTTTTACCTAACAAAACAAACCCTTTTTATGTGTGTAAGACGGTACACCCCTAAGATCAACTCCAACCGAATCCCAAAACTCAAAATGAGGGAGAAAAATTGATCCAACCGAATACCAAAAGCAAACTCAAATTGCGTTTTCCTCACTCTCTCTCATCAGATAAACGCATATATGCGTTCCAACGCAAAAATTGCGTTTGTAGTTTTGAAATTGCAATCTCATACCCATGTTTGTTATTAATTACATAATTGGCCAATAATGAGAAAAAAAAAAGATAAATAATTCTTCAAATGAAGAAAAAAAATAATTGATTTTTCTAAACTTAAATAAGAAAATAATTCAGTATCCTAACAAATTTATTGGCTATGTGATCTTGTTTCTGTTCATTATGATTTATTAACATAATTGTTATATTTATTTATTTTGTAAAATATATCAAGTTATCAACATAGTAAAATAATTAGTGTTATATTTATCCTTTAATTTTTTATAAATCAAATATTAACATAAAGAATATATATATTTAATATATAATTTTCTTACCAATGAAAAATAACATTATAAATCACGAAATACAAATTAGATGTAAAGTCCCTGGGGGCCATCAGATCCAATCTAATAAAAATATATGTAAAACTTTCTTCAAATTTTATACAAATACGTAATTTATCAACATTCTAATAAATGGTTGATAAATAAATTTATTATTATTGGTAAATTTTTGTATAATGTGTTTTAGTACATATTTACAGTCTAGACCATATATGGTTTAGGGCATATATTCACTAAGAAAATCTAGACTGTAAATATATGACCTAAACCATATATGATCTAGACCATATATGCCCTAAATCATTTTCCAAAATGTAAATATATGCCCTAAACCATATATGGTGTAGACCAAATTATGTTAAATAAAAATAAATAAAATATATTTTTATTATTTGAGTAATTAACATTTTTATTTGAGGAATTCACCAATTCTGAGACTTGAAAGATTATCTATTTTTACTTGATTGTTGGAATTTTTAATTTCTTATCTTGTGTGTTGTAATTTTAATTTTATTTAGTGTGTTGTAATTTTTAATTTCTCATCTTGTCCGTTGTAGTTTTTTAATTTTATCTTGTGTGTTGTAATTTTTATTTTATAATGTTGTGCATTGTAATTTTTAATATTATATTGTGTGTTGTAATTTTTAAATTTTATTTTTAATGACTATTTATTTCTCCGATTTTATTACATAAAGTCTAAATTGAATTGAAAATAAAAGTGTGGTTTAATTTGTAAAGTTGTAAAATATGTGGGTAGTATTGAAAAGTTGTAAAAGTTGATGTAAAAGAGAATATTCCGCAAATATTCTTTTGGGTTGGAAAATGGGTTTTTTGATTGGAGATGAATTACTGCAAAATGGGATGTGTACTGCAAAATGGATTTGAATTTGGTGTATTCCGTTGGAGATGCTCTAACTCCCATTCCTTTTAGTTTTTCATTTTATTTATTGAGTTGCAACTTATAATGAATACCCAACGAACATCTTCTAATAAATTGCCTGTAATTGTCGACAAAGGCATGCTCCAATCTATGGCTCAACGCATCGTTCATTGAATCCATGGCGGGACCGATTGGATATAAATCAAGCTCAATTTTGATCAAATTTTGAGTCAAAAATGAGTTATCTTTATATAAAATTGATTGAGTGTAATTGCAAGTTTTTTTTTAAAAAAAATAATATTTAAAATGTAATTATTACATTTAATGTGAAAGTAACGTTTAAAGAAATTATTGAAAATGATAAATACAAAAAAAAAATGTGAGTGAATGAATAACAAATTAAAATTGATGTGATGTGTGAAGATAATTTTTTTATATTATTTAATTATGTTGATAATATTGATGAGAGTTAGGTGGATTAAATTTGAGTTGAATTTTGAGTTAAACAAAAAGAAAAAACTTTGATCGATCAAAATCAAGTTTAATTTCTAGCCAATCGCGTCCTTATGGTCTCATTTCATAATAAGTTAATTAATATTTTTTTATCCAACAAACTGTAGAGGATAAAGGTAAGAACAAATTAGATGCTTGTTTATCAAATAATTCATTCAAAATGAGTTATTTTGGTTAACTAAAATTAATTTTGCAAAAAGTAGTATTGTCAGTTGTTAGTGAGATTTTAATTATATATTATAATAATGTATCAAAATAAAATGATTAATATTCATTCGATGTAAAAGTAGGTGATAAATGATTGGAAGTGATAGATAGTTAAAATTATACGAGTTGATGAATTGTGAATTAAAGTTGATGTGATGTGTAAGAATGATTGGTTTGTATGATTTAATTATATGAATAATATTAAGGATAGTTGGGTTAAGTTAAAGTTGAGTTATATTTTAAGTATGAATTAAATGTGAGTAAATTATTTGGTAAACAAGCATGCCTTAAGTACCATGCTTGACTTTTCTTTTGTCAGTTGCATTTTGATACTGTCTGCTATATTAGTTCAGTAATAGCTGCAGTCTTATTTCTAAGTACAAGAAGGAAGGATTAAAGAGGTCGGAGTCAGACTATAGTGGGTTGTTAGAGAACTCAAGTAGCGACTTGGGATGACCTTATGATGATCGTTTAAACTTCATAATGGATCTTGAATAAATAATTTGGTGTACATGAAATACTTATTTGATGCGGAAGACGACATTATTTGTGATCTTGATCTTGATGATCACACGAGGTTGGATTGATTGTTAGATCTAAATCAGTTTCTCCCTCCTGACCAATTCTTTAACGTAACAGAAAATTGATGGAAAAACTGCGTACCCTAATAGAAGGAGAAATGTCTAATTTATATAGGGGTGTCTTTAGATCTAATACGTCCATCAAATATCGAGATTAATGGCTTAGATTTGTTTGACTATTAAATAAAGGTCTGGCCCAATAGGATAATTAATTGTGAGCCCAATGCTTTCGGGCCACATGTTATTACATTCTCCAACTTGGTCCGAAAGTCCATAATTTAATAGTATAACATTAGTTGCGCATAAACAAAATCTCATTATGCCATACATCATAATAAACTATGACATGATAAATCATATAGTGAGAGTTATGGCGGTTGTACAATCTCGATTCACATACTTCCTTCCATATACTACTACACTAATAGTTCAACACATCAAGTTTCATAATTATATATAAATATCATAATGTCCACTTAATTGTCATGAAGACATTCATTTCTTGTTCTAAACATAATGTATACAAAATCATAATGAACAAGGAATTCGATAATAGTCAGAAACATAACATCAATGAACTCAAGAGTGTGCCATATCATCATATATCAATCATCAGTACAACCAAGACCCATTATATATACATGTTCTTTACATGTCTTTGGTTGTAGACCTTTAGTTAACGGATCGACAATCATAAGGTCCGTTCTATAATGCACACTCTTTGTTTCTGAACTTTATCCTCAACGACAAAATACTTTGATTCCATGTGTTTTGCACCATTGGAATGTTTGTCAATTTTTTGAGAAGAAAACTGCTGCGAAATTATCACAATATATTTTCAACGGCTTGGTAATAGTGTCGACAACCCCAAGTCCCGAAATAAAGTTTCGCAGCCATAATGTATGAATTGTAACCTCATAACAAGCTACAAATTCATCCTCCATAATAGATGCAGTTATGACAGACTGTTTGCACTTTTCTATGAAATTGCTCCATTGGCAAGGAGAAACACATACCAAACATTTACTTGCGACTATCAATGCACCCAACAAAATCTGAATTTGAATATTCAATCACCCCAAGGCGATCAGATTTCCTAAATGTGAGCATATGATCCTTCGTCCCTTGAAGGTATCTCATCACTTTCTTTGCATCTTTTCAGTGATCCAATCCAGGATTACTTTGATATTGGTCAAGCATTCTAACCGCGAAGCTAATATCAGGCCTCGTGCAAGTTTGCAAGTACATCAAACTGCCCACAACAGAAGCATATGAAATTGATTCCATACTCTTTTGTTCCACATCATTCTTAGGACATTGCATAAGATAAACTTATCCCATTTCTATAATGGGACAACACTTGGTGAATAATTGTTCATACTAAATCTCTCAAGAATTTTCTCGATATAAGCTTTTTGAGATAACCCCAACAATCCTTGTGATCTATCCCAAAATATTAAAATTCCAATCACATAGGATGCCTCTCCCATATCTTTCATTTCAAAATTCTTTAAGAGAAAATCTTTAGTCTCATGCAAAATTCCCAAATCATTAGCAGCAAGTAAGATATCATCAACATATAGAACAAAAAATATAAACTTACTCCCACTGATCTTTTGGTAAATACACCAATCAACAGTGTTTTCTTGAAAATCAAAAGACGTGATGGTATCATTAAATTTAATATAACATTGTCTGGAAGCTTGGTAAAGTTCATATATTGACTTCTTAAGTTTACACACCATGTGACCCTTTCCTTCTATGGAAAACCTTCGGGTTGATCCATATAAACTTTCTCATCTAAGTCCCCATTAAGAAAGGTTGTTTTCACATCCATTTGATGTAACTTTAAATCATACTGAGCAACTAAAGCCATAATAATCCTCAAGGAATCTTTCTTAGAAACAGGTGAAAAAGTCTCCTTATAATCAATGCCATCTTTCTGAGTATAACCTTTGGCAACAAGTCTAGCTTTATGTCCTTCGATATTTCCACTCGAGTCGCGTTTGGTCTTAAAGACCCACTTACACCCAACTCGTTTTGAACTTTCTGGCAACTCTACTAGATCCCAAACATTGTTTTTAGCCATAGAGTTTAACTCTTCTTTCATAGCATCAATCCATTTATGAGACTCGTCACTGTTAATGGCTTGTGAAAACGAAACAAGATCTTCATCAATGCTAGTATCATAATCCAACTCTTGCAAATAAACCACATAGTCATCCGAAATAGCAGGTTTTCTCACCCTTGTAGGTTTGCTTAGTGTTATTCCACGTGGTTCATTTATATTAGTTGGTGGAAAGTTAGTCTCTTCATGGGGTCCTACTTCATCCAAATTTTGTCCACTATTATTTTGTGGTTGTGGAACAATATTTGGTATAACTGTGGATATTGGAACATTAATAGGTAATGGAACATCAACCCTTATTTCATTAATTTCCATAGTATCTTTAGCACTCCCACTAACTTCACCATTTTCAATAAATCTAGCATTGCCCGTTTCAACGATTCTAGAACTATGATTAGGACAGTAAAACATATACCCTTTGGACTTAAGCCTTAATAGTGTTATAGTTAATTTGAAAAGGCCCATAATCAGGAGGCAACGAGTTAAGCATAAATTGCACCAGAAATAAGTCATCCACAGTCATGCCAAGGGACTTAAGCCTTACTGCAAGATTAGTCTTGTCAAGAACATGTTTCTGCATACTATGCGACCCATCATACTTTTTGGTCGTGAGTTCAGCCATAAATGTTTTTGCCAATGACTTATCCGTGGAACGGAAACGCTCTTCCAAAAGCTAAAGATATGCTTTTGCATCCACATTATCGGGAAGAGTTGACTTAATGTTGTTGGCAATCGTCATTCGTATAAAGCTCAAACATAATCTGTTAGACCTATCCCAAGCCTTACGGTTTGATTTCCCAGCCTCACTGCTTTGATTATTAATGTCAGTGAGCTTTTATTCAAGCAGAGCCAAATCAATATCCAAAACACCTAAATGGAAATTGACTTGCTCACGCCATTCAGAGAAATTCAAACCATTGAAGACGGTCACAAAAGAAGCTTGCGAATGAAGAGAGAAAGTTACACAATCATAAATGCTCACTTAATTAATAGATTCAGAAAATATATTCATCACATATATTGGAGGTCTCTTTTGGGTAAACTCAACAATAAATATCATTATCATAAGTCGAATGTCAGTTAATACTTAATGAGAAATTAAATAAACTCCCTCAAACATACATAGTATCTTTGGATATCTATATATGCTCGACAAAGGGAATATTATATTTCTCCTTAATGTTTATTAGTTATAGAACATTGATTCACCTTTGGGTTAAATCCATAATTTCTAACAGTCAATAAACTCATTATCTTAAATAATGGCATTCTCAAGAGAACATAAGTTTTTTTTTTTTTTTTTTTTTTTTTTT